AAAAAAGAAGTAAAAATTTATATACAAATTTGAATTATGGCTGTGTGGGGCGGCTTATACCTTTCCTGGCCTTTTCTGTTTTTAGCTTTCAACAAAACTCTTTTACTTTTACTTTATTTCTGTATTTTCTCTTTTAGGTCACCGCATAATAAATAACTGCGGATGTTCTTTTTTCCCTTTTTTTCTCCTGGTTCCGTATAATTTATGCAGGTTAAATTTGCAAATTTTTTTGCTACAAGAATGAGCCCGTGTTTAAGGGCAATTATGGGGCCTGTCAAATGTATATTTCGACAATTGCGGGACCAAGCTTTCGGTCGCTTTTGTGGAAGAAAAAGGAAGCATAGTCGCATCGCACCGAGCTTTTCCACCGACTTCCCTCCGTTTATCCTTCGCATTTTGTTGTCTTTTCATTAGGACAAAAGGCAAATGTCCTTGGCCCCCTTGGCGTCCTTCAGTTTGCCTTGCACTTGAATTCCTGCAAAGTGTGCTGTGCGTGTGCCAGTCTGGGTTTTTTGTCCGTTTCATGTCTTGGCCATAAATTGTAACTAACGTCTCTGGATAGGAAGGATTCAGCGAGATGGTTTAATGCATATTTATACCACCTAAATGGCTAATGAGCAAAACGTGCCACACATGCAGCGGCAACATTTTTGAGGCATGAATATGCGAAAACACGAAGAAAATACATTAATTAAATTTTCGGTAACGAACCTCCTCCACCAACTCCACCAACGCCTTGGCCCCAACGGAAACTCTAAAAGGCGCCAACGCCAAGGGTGTAACTTTTACTTACAAGCGGCGTCGGAAAATCATCCGGGGGGAGGGAAAAAGGAGAGAAAAAGCCGAGAGACCTATAAAGAAAATCATGCCGGGCCATGTGTGTCTGAATTCTGATTGAGAATTACGCGAATGAAATAAAAGTCGGACCAAAAAACAAACGAGTGTGAGTGCCCGTGATTTTCGCCTGCATTATTTATAAGAATAAAAACCAAATAATGAAGCCTCATAAAAATGCCAAGGCTCAAGCCATATTGCGGATATTACAAACAAAAGATAATAATATAATGAGCAATAAGCCAAAGGCAAATAATAAAGGCCAGCTGCAGAAAGAGCTCCCAAGACCCGGAGACCACAGCACAGAATTCAATTATGTGCGATAAACAGAAGTCATTAAATATTAAAGTGCTAATGGAAAAGGAATCGACGGCGGCCATACAAAAGATGATGCTTTTCCCGGGAAAATAAATCTGCTCAAAGGAAGCGTAATGAGCGTAGGACAAAGATTGAAGGGTCAAGGTGGAGACCAGACCAGACCTCCCGCGATGAACGTGAAGGTAAAGAAAAATGGGGCCGGGGAAATGCGGAAAAGCTGTGCAAATACTAAGCGGAAAACAGCGTGAAACGGGGACCAGACTTCAGGTACAAAGATGCACTTGGAAAATACAATATAAAATAAAGACATTTTAAATTAGGGAATATTTTGCGAAATAAATACCATACAAAATAAAAATAGAATGTTACCTCAAATATGTATTATTTAGTATTCATTTAAAATGTATAGGATATGAATATAAAGAATAAAAGAAGTAAAAATTTATATACAAATTTGAATTATGGCTGTGTGGGGCGGCTTATACCTTTCCTGGCCTTTTCTGTTTTTAGCTTTCAACAAAACTCTTTTACTTTTACTTTATTTCTGTATTTTCTCTTTTAGGTCACCGCATAATAAATAACTGCGGATGTTCTTTTTTCCCTTTTTTTCTCCTGGTTCCGTATAATTTATGCAGGTTAAATTTGCAAATTTTTTTGCTACAAGAATGAGCCCGTGTTTAAGGGCAATTATGGGGCCTGTCAAATGTATATTTCGACAATTGCGGGACCAAGCTTTCGGTCGCTTTTGTGGAAGAAAAAGGAAGCATAGTCGCATCGCACCGAGCTTTTCCACCGACTTCCCTCCGTTTATCCTTCGCATTTTGTTGTCTTTTCATTAGGACAAAAGGCAAATGTCCTTGGCCCCCTTGGCGTCCTTCAGTTTGCCTTGCACTTGAATTCCTGCAAAGTGTGCTGTGCGTGTGCCAGTCTGGGTTTTTTGTCCGTTTCATGTCTTGGCCATAAATTGTAACTAACGTCTCTGGATAGGAAGGATTCAGCGAGATGGTTTAATGCATATTTATACCACCTAAATGGCTAATGAGCAAAACGTGCCACACATGCAGCGGCAACATTTTTGAGGCATGAATATGCGAAAACACGAAGAAAATACATTAATTAAATTTTCGGTAACGAACCTCCTCCACCAACTCCACCAACGCCTTGGCCCCAACGGAAACTCTAAAAGGCGCCAACGCCAAGGGTGTAACTTTTACTTACAAGCGGCGTCGGAAAATCATCCGGGGGGAGGGAAAAAGGAGAGAAAAAGCCGAGAGACCTATAAAGAAAATCATGCCGGGCCATGTGTGTCTGAATTCTGATTGAGAATTACGCGAATGAAATAAAAGTCGGACCAAAAAACAAACGAGTGTGAGTGCCCGTGATTTTCGCCTGCATTATTTATAAGAATAAAAACCAAATAATGAAGCCTCATAAAAATGCCAAGGCTCAAGCCATATTGCGGATATTACAAACAAAAGATAATAATATAATGAGCAATAAGCCAAAGGCAAATAATAAAGGCCAGCTGCAGAAAGAGCTCCCAAGACCCGGAGACCACAGCACAGAATTCAATTATGTGCGATAAACAGAAGTCATTAAATATTAAAGTGCTAATGGAAAAGGAATCGACGGCGGCCATACAAAAGATGATGCTTTTCCCGGGAAAATAAATCTGCTCAAAGGAAGCGTAATGAGCGTAGGACAAAGATTGAAGGGTCAAGGTGGAGACCAGACCAGACCTCCCGCGATGAACGTGAAGGTAAAGAAAAATGGGGCCGGGGAAATGCGGAAAAGCTGTGCAAATACTAAGCGGAAAACAGCGTGAAACGGGGACCAGACTTCAGGTACAAAGATGCACTTGGAAAATACAATATAAAATAAAGACATTTTAAATTAGGGAATATTTTGCGAAATAAATACCATACAAAATAAAAATAGAATGTTACCTCAAATATGTATTATTTAGTATTCATTTAAAATGTATAGGATATGAATATAACTATATAAAGTATAAACAATATTAGTTTTAGTTATTTTAAATTCATTACAAGAAAAAGTATAAATAATATCAAACTAAGTTAATTGAAGTTTTAATTTATACCTTTTTAAAGGTAACTACAATATGCTATTATATAATACCCTATCCCCAACCTAAAATCCCAAAACCCAAATGTTTTTTAATATTATATTATATTCAAATTTTTTATGTGTACTTTAACCTTTATTGTAACCACATGGCACCATATGCTTCATATGCATATTTCTGCGACCGGATGAAAATTTTACAGTATTTTGATTTTTTGTATATTGTGTGTTGGTCTGAGCTTAATTTTATTTTCCCCAACTTGTATTATTATGCATGCATAAGATTGGGGTTTTGTGGAGCTAATTTTACGCTCCTCTAATTCCGTATTATGAGATTATTATTATGTTCCTGTTTTTTTTGGGGGGGTTCAGCAAAGAAAACATCTGCTGGTCCTTGTGTATTTTGAGGTTTTGTTTAGCAGATAATATATTCCATTTGAACTTGTTTTCTTGGTCATTACATTTTGGTTTGATAAGGGTTACCGTAGATTAGATTTATTAACAATTTGCAACGAAACAGGTCAATGCAATCTGTGATTTTAGCATTAAAAATGCAAATCAATGATTTTGGCAGCCAAAAAACAATAGTGCTGATTTAACCAGGGTGTCAAAAAATGAAGCAATCAATTATAGGTGACTTTTTTTTCTATTATAAATTTGGAAATCCATTAATTATTAGAAATTGATGTATTTTCATCGTTATTATACATTATTAAATTAGTATTTTGTTAAATAATGAAATTAAAAATTGTTTTAAGCATTCTACTATACTGGAAACCATTTTTAAAATGCTAAACAAAAAGATATATGCCAAAATATACAATGAATTAAATATGACCTGCATCCCTGATTCCTGGCTGTCGAAACTGAAGTGAAAATTGAGAGCGGAAACAAACCGCGAATCCCAAAAAGCCCAAAACCGAAAACCAGATTTTAAATGCATGTAATTGTTATGTGAAGCAAGGATAGAGAGCGTTGGGCAAACAAAATTTGCGTCACTTTTGTGGCTACACCTGCGGCTGTCGCCGGCAGGTGTGTGTGTGTGTGTGTGTGCACTCTCTTTATCCCCCGCACTAAACAACTCCACTATGCGATGCACTTTCCAGCAGATAAATTATAAATAAAGCGCATCGACATCAGCACGCGAAATGCTGTCATGATTTCCGTTGAACTCCACACACTCGCGGCGCTGTGACCAGATTAAATATATCCCTTTTTCGGGCACTACCACTACCCCTACGCTGCGGATCCTTTATTTATGCCATGAATAAATGCAAATTTCCCAACGCCGCAGCAGATTTTGCAACATATGAAAAGGCAGAGGGGGAAATGGGATAGAGAGGACACGCCAAAGGACTCCGCAGCGTGTCCTTTGCATAATAATAACTTGTAAATGTCATGTAGCGTAACCGTGTCCTCCGTCAAAGCATAAAAAACAAAAATCTAAATAAAATAAAAGATGAAGAGGAGTGGAGGGATGATGTGGTGTTCCATCTGGGATCGTGTGCCGTATGCGAATTAGCATTTAATATGTGCCATAAGGCCAGGGGCATTAAAATTGCTAATACGACCGAGTGTTTTCCAAAGGGGAAAGGTTCAGACAAGAAAATCATCTTTGCAACGCAAATGAAAATTGCATCAGGTGTAGGGGCCACGAATAAGTACCAATGAAATCAAGGAAACAATTATATGTATATCTTTCCCTCACTTCTTACTCACTTCTTTACCCTAAAAAGAAGATAGTTTTGTGTAACAGAAAATACTTAAATTTTTGCATTTTATATTTGAAATTATTTTTATCCCTTGGGTATAGGTGTACAACAGCTATAAGAAGTTTTGCGATTATTCGGACATAAGCAACGACGACCTGAATTTATAAGACAATAAGTTTTATTTTCGCCATTAAAATCCATGACTCACCAGGTCCATAAAACAAAAATGCACTGATAAGGATCCACCAAAGTCTACTATCCATCTTGATCACAGTTTCTATCTGTCTACCTTTAGTTAGATGCAATGTTTACTTATTGTTTACATTTTCCATTTATACCGAATATAATGTGAAATTGGAATTTTACACCCGGAACTACACTACTTTACTACTTTAATTAATTAGTATTGCGATCCATTTTGTTCCCTGTTTTTGTCTGATGTTTACTTATATGTTACATTTCCAACTTTTAACTTTTAAATATATGTGGAATTCCACCATTAAGTGATTAAAAAACTTCAAATTGAGGGGGTACAAAGACTTGAATAAGTAAATAAGTAAATTTTCCCTACCTCATGTTTGCTTTTTCCCCCCATGGAACCCAATTGGCGATTGGTTTAACTTCTCAACCTTTGGCAAACCGATTAGATGCCACTAATTGACCGGAAACGAGAAAAATTGATTTATTTGCCGTGACTCAAGGCCTTGACGTGGCCATTATTGCGATAAGAGCCGGGCACATAATCAATGGCAATTGATTGGCCGGAAAGCAATTTCCCTAAGCCTAAGCAATTTGTAAATTAAGCAAAAATCTTTATACTTATATAGAGAAGCAGTAAACGATATTAAATTGGGTTTGTTAAGGAAAGTTTGGGATATTACGTATACGTACTAGGTTGTCCGGTTTTCTTAAGGAGTTGACTTTGGTATGTAGAGTTGCAATAGTTTATCACAACTTAACCTTGACTTATCCCAAATAGAAACCAAAAGTTAGAAAAATAATCGCAATACTCTCGTTATTAATTACAATCAAGTTTTGCTCATTTTTGGTTAACATTAAATCGGAAATAAGAAGTGGTTTAATTATTTACTGGTCTGTTAGAGACCACGACCACCCAATGCCATAAAATGGCAAATTTGTGGCCCACTAACGGCTCAGCTCACTTCCTTCCTTCCTAACCCTCCTTTCTAGGATTCATTCGGACATTTTTGCATTGGCAAGCACTTTTTGCCCAAGGATACCAAAGACAGCGAGCCACTTGTGTGCGATACTTTTGCAACAAAAAAAAGACAGAAAAAAGACGAAATCTCTGAAAGGAACCGGAGGAATGCTAGAAGAATGGGATACCGTGAGACAGACGTATATGGAGAGCCATTTGAAAACTATTACGCCCAGGAGATTCATTCGAGTAGTGCGGCATTTATAACTCAAATGTTGCCCGAGTAACAAAAAAGCCTAAAAACTCTACCACAACGGATGGAGTTGAACATTGGCCAAGGACTAAAGACGAAGCTAGAAGATAGTGATGAGCATTTATTTGTGTTTTATCCTTGGTCCTTAATAAAAATAAGTAAATATTTATAACGTTGGAAAGACAATGACAATCTGTGGTATTCATTATTATAACAACCAGTGTCAAAGAGCTGGAAAGCATTTAATTTTTCAAAAGAATTGTGCCTTGATAAGAGTGCATTTGTTATGACATTTGGAAAGCCGATGATATGACACTTTAAATAACCATAATAAGTACATTAACATATAGTCAATTTAATTTATTTAGTATTTTAAGGAATTTTTCCGTACTATTTGAAGTCAATATTCTTCCGCTGCTTTAATATAAATATATAATCAAACAATATATTTAAGTTGCAATTAAAAATAGTAGAAAATATATAATACAATATCTAAATACATATTTTATTTTACCCATTTGCCTATTGATCATCACTGCAATGGGGAACGAGGGAACGAGGAAAAATGGCAGAAAAATGAGAAAACTGTGGAAGCTTCCTAGGAAATGGCAACACACACGAGAAGGACATTCACTGTGCTTGCTTTTTATTAGAATGTGTCCATGGAGACGTGGGCGCCAGCCATTGTCTGGCTGCCTTCGCCACGAATCTCCAGCGTTCTCTCTGCCCAAGTATATCCTTGTATATATCCTTTCCTATAATATATATACAAACATATATGTATACATTGTGCTTCTGTAGTTTGCTATACATTTCTTAGCACGTAGTTATCTGTGGCAGCAACGGGAACAACAATGCTACTTGAAAGAACAATAAAAAGTTTGCTGAAAACAAAAAAATACCCTTTCTCATATGAGGATAACTCCCTGTTCCGCAATAAAAAAGGATGTAAATCTATAGAATACGATATATGTGAGCAAGTTTCGTCATTAAGTTAAAAGATTATTTAGTTTATGTTTCTTATAATATATTTTACACACTTTTATTATTTAGATTATGGTCTAAGTATTCCGTGATTGCAACACCTGGTACTTATTTCAAACGAACCCTGACATGGGCAAAGATTACCTAGAAAAATGGGTCCGAAAATCGGAGCTGATATTCTAGCACTTTAGTTTGTAAAAATTTTTTAAACGTTTAACGTTTAAGCCAAAATGTCCCTTCTTCATTTGCCGCCCAAATATTCTCTTCTTCACGTGTCGGCTTCTTTATCGTGGATCCTAACCCATTCCAAGGTCCGCCCTGAGCTGATAAGATTACTTTTTGTAAAGTAAACTAATTTAAATGATTTTTTATTATTTTAACTTACCAGCTGCTAGATCTAGACAAAGCAGAATCAAGAAAAAGGCGGCTCCCGTCCAGTACATTTTGAGTAAAAATGATCATATAACTAAAGCCAATTTGATATTTATAAAGATATGGTAGTTTTCCGTAGCAAATAGATTGGTTTCATTTATGAAGGTTGTTTTAAAATAGCTACCATGTCATTCTCTATATTTGAATGCCCTTAAAATATCATATATCAATGCCGATTTATGTGTTTTTCCCGCAAAACTTATTTACAAATAAAAGTCACCTTAAAAGATTCCTAATTCCCATTAAACCTTTTTTATGTTTAGATCAATCTATTTATCTCTTTTATTACCCTTTTTACCAAGATTTTATTTATATTAATATTTTACAAACAAAAAATCGAATTTGGAGTATTCTTGTTCAGAAAATACGGTGGTTTTAAAGATTTGGTCCGATTTTTAAACTAAATATTTATTGATATATTTATATTATTTAAATTTGTAGTATCGTCTTGAGCCAACGCCAAGGCAGGCCACAAGGCAATAAGACCAATGAGGAACTTCATGGCAACCAGGTCCATTGAAAAATGAGTTGCAAATTAGGAAAACATCTACTTTTATTTTGCTAAATAGATTTAATGTAGCGAATTGGTGCCGAACTTTGAAAAAAGTTGACCTTTAAAGCGATGCTAATTACATTATAATATATTAATAATTGGCCTTAACACTAACCTTTTCGTACTAGGTTATGTAACTCAAGAAGACTCGAGAGACTATATTAAATATAGAAAAATATATTTGAATCAGGTTAGCAATATAATCAAACCAATATTGATTTAGTTTATAAGATGCAAGTTTTATCGCATGGTTCTAACCTCTGACCGACTGGCTAAATCAAACAGCGTCATTTTAAAATTTAAAATAAACGTGTATTTTAAAGAGTACAATACTTTTCAGATCAAACATTTAATTCAATCAAAAATATAGTACATTTTAAACTTCCATTTACTTCACCAATTTACCAAAACAAAATAAAATTCTTTCAAATTTGTAAGAAAAAAGGAAGAGATTTGTGACGTATTCCAGTTATTTACTGCATTTAATTACGGAATTTGTTAACCCAGAGCACTGGCATTGGAAATTTGGATTTGATTAGTATTGTCGTTAGTATCCCCCTGGACTTGGACCAAGCCAATGAAGAAGGCAACGGCAATGAGGGCAGCTAGGAACTTCATGGTTATCGGGTTGATTTGGAAATGAGTCCAAGAACTAGGGTTGAAGTTGGTGATGTGTAGTGCAATCCCCAGAATCCCTCTCTATTTATATCCAAAAACGGTTGGTAAAACTGAAACTGGAACTAATTTTGAAATTTGTTCTGAAGCAAAGTCTTTCAGGGTATGATAATTTAGTCAAAGTAAAAGGTCAAATGTTTCTCAAAACCAAACATATGTAATTTCTTAATCCAATGGATATGTTAATATAATTTTTATAAAATTTAATTAAAGGTAATACGTCATCATTATATATAGTACACCTTCGAAGTTGCAAAAACATCTTATAAGAAAAACCAAGATTTCTTTGGCTAAAATTCAATTTAAGGCATTTAGGATATTTTTTGGTTAAAAGTTAGACTTTAAGTCAAAGTTCACGAAAATTGTATGAAAAATAACCCAATACCTAAATTACAGCATTTATTCTTTTGCGTTTTTTAAAGTAGGTTGTTTTTGTAAATATATTAACCTTTACTTCTAAGAATGGCAATTGAAAGTCTTCTCTAAACTCCTTTAAGGATCTTAAAGGAATCAGAGAAAAATACATAATACAAATGTCCATCTGGTATATAAACTTAAACTAGCAAAAGTTGGCTTCCTTTCTGTAAACTGCAAACTTCTAAAAATACTTAAGTACATATCTGTATAAATGACTGATTCTTTATTTGTATAAGTTCATTTGCTTATACCATTAATTTTATTGAATGTTTTTCTAATTTTAAGAAGAGAATCGTTGATCCTTTTACAGGAAACCAGAATAAGCATTTTTCAAATGCTCTTAAAATATCGTAATGCTGCTTTTATATATTCAATATATATTTTATGCTATGGACGAACACCCCTATTTTAATGGTTACTTGTCATAAATTACACGTTTTCTTGAATCAACAAAAATTAACCTTGAATTCAGAAAAATAAATTCATATTTTAATATCAAATTACCCTTAAACATAGAAAAATCTTTCTCAATGTAAGACAAATTTACCTTTAATATCAGAAAACTTTTTTCTCATATTAGCGGCAAATCGCCCTAAAAACAACAAAACTACATTTAAGAAAAATCGCCTTAGATTTCAGGAAGTTTCATTCCTCCCTTCAGGGAAAATTTTTTATGAGCTTTGATGACCAATTCATCCAAAAGTCAAAATTTTTAAGAGTGCAGCTAATTTGGCCTTTTCAGTTTCATTACGATTTGTGTTAATTTCCTGGGCATGGGCCAAACCAGCAAAGAAAAGTACGGCAACGAGACCAGCAAGTAACTTCATGGCTACCAGTTTGATTTGGATGATGAGTCGAGGAACGAAAATGTCATTGTGAAGTAATATTTTATATACGTTTTCAATTAAACAGAAAAACTGTTGATAAAACCTTAACTGAAACTAATTTGGTTCCGACACGGAGCATTACAGGGGTGTTAAATTAATGTCAGTAAAAGGTCAAATGTTACTCAAACTCAAGCGTATAAATATACTTTGTTTAGTATTGAATTAAAGGTACTGAGTCATCACTCAATCTTTTACACTTTCAAGAGTAATTAAGATGAGTAAAATAATTACTTAAATATTTTATAAGAAAAGCTTGATAATTGCTTTTAAAAAAGTCAAAATATCATTCCCATAAAACTTTTTTTTGTTTAGATCAAACATTTATATTTTCCCAATACCTTTTTTTGTCAAGATTGAAAGTTTATATGTTTTATTATATTAATATTTTACAGAAAACAAATCCGATTTGCAGTTAGCTTGTTTAAAAAACACTGTGGTTTTGTATTTGTTATCTAAGATCCTTTTTTCTGTTTTCCTATATCTATTGCGACATTTATATTATAGTTATTTAAAATCTCGCCTTCAGCCAACGCAAAGGCAGACCACATGGCAATAAGACCAATAAGGAACTTCATGGCAACCAGATCCTTTGAAAAATGAGTTGCAAACTAGAAAAACATCTATTTTTATTTAGGTGGAGAGATTAAGTGTAGCGAATTTTTGGCTGAACCTTAAGCAAAGTTGGCATTTAAAACAAAGTAAAATTCTTGTGGTCTATGCCTTATTAGGATCAGCACATTTTATAAAAATAATTTACCCACCCAATTTAAGGACTCTCAAATTGTATAGCATTCAATAATGTTAAAAAAAAGGCAGAATTTAAAGGTTGAATTTATTTATTTAATTCATTTATTTACTGAATTTATACACCCAGGGAACTGAGATTACCAATTTTTATTTGATTATTATTGTCGTTAGTATCCCCCTGGACCTGGACCAAGCCCACGAAGAAAGCAACGGCAATAAGACCAGCAAAGAACTTCATGTTTCTTAGGTTGATTTGGATATGAGTTCAAGAACTATAAAGGTGCTGTGATGTTGTAAGGCACTCCCTTAAATTTGTCTCCATTTATAAAGAAAAATAATGCGTAGAACCAAAACTTGAACTAATTTTAGCATTATTTCTGATGTGGAGTGTGAAAATTCTAATTATTTGGTAATTACATTGATTATTAAAAGGTCAAATGTTTCTCATAAATCCAAAGGATGTACAAATATAATTTGTATACAAATTAGAGGACTAAATTATCACTATATGTAAAGCGTAATGAGCAAAATAATTGGAAAAACATTTAAAAAGAAGACGAAAATTCCCCAGAAAAGCATCCATTCTGATAGGTTTTAGCTTACTCTTTGGTTATTTACTCAAACTCAAATGAGCTCTGAGCTCTGAGATTTGTGTTGAAAAACAAATTAACTAAATTTTGAAAAGTAAAACTTCCTATTAATCTATTTATAAATAGTGTGAACCATGTGTATTTTGGTAGATACACTTCATCACTACGCCGGTCGTAATCCCAGGAAGTTCGTGAAGATATGTCATCCGGTGGCTGTAATCTTGGGACTGGCTACCGCTGTCCTTTTGTTCCTGGTGCAAATGCTACATGTGGCGCCACAGCTGCTAAGCGATGTGTTATGCAAACTGTACTGGATGCTGGCCATCTTCATAATGTACAATATCCTGGGGAACATGTTGGCCTGCTACCGTGCCACATCGTCGGTGGCTAGTCTGCCCGAAGATAGGCAAGTGCCAGCAACGGAAGAGAAGCATCTGTGGCACTATTGTGATTTGTGTCAAAAGATGTCGCCTCCCAGATCCTGGCATTGCAAGCTGTGTGAATGTTGCATTTTAAAGAGGGACCATCATTGCATTTTCACTGCCGGCTGCATAGGACACAATAATCATCGATACTTCTTCTGGTTCACCTTCTATACGGCATTAGGAACTGGCCTATGTCTCGTCAGCACCTTTATATTATTAGTAAGGAATCATTTGGCTCTGCAACTCATTAACTTCTCAACCTTCTTGGACACTTTACTGTTCACCATTACGCTCTTTGCCTGGGTAGCCACTGTTGTCATGTTGTCATTCCAAATACATGTTGTCTACCTTAACAATTCGTACTATCAAATACTCGATCGGACCTACGATCTGGGTATCAGATCGAACTGCAGAATTATAATGGGTCAGAGAGGATTGTGGACATTTCTATCGCCCACAATAAAGAGTCCTTTGCCCCACGATGGCACCCAATGGAAAAGGAGGCATAGTGAATGAGTGGCTTTCTTAAATCTAAATTCGTATTTGTGTGTGAAATAAATCCTTAACTTGTAGAACAAGATGTAATTTGTGATATTACTTTTTAACCTTTGAAACATAAAAGGGAAATTTACAATTTACTCTGGCGAATCGAATTCATTTTTTAAGGTCAGCACATACGTGGTAATTAAAATGTAAACAACCAACTTGGGGGATAAGAAACCATATCCTTTCGGTTTCATAGAAACCCATTTAGAAAATTTGTAGAACAAAAATAACTTTTGTAAGTAAGTTTTGAACATTTATAATAAAAACATTGTATTATTTTAAATGTCGGATTTAATATTAATAAATTGCAAGGGGAGCGTGGTAAAGTTGAATTCCATTCTTGTAATAATTAAATATTGTAATGAAAGTAAATAGATTTCTCTCTCTCTTCCTTTTCCTCTCCCCTCTCTCTCTCTCTCTCCTCTCTCCTCTCTCTCTCTCTCTCTCTCTCTCCTCTCTCTCTCTCTCTCTCTCTCTCTCTCTCTCTCTCTCTCTCTCTCTCTCTCTCTCTCTCTCTCTCTCTCTCTCTCTCTCTCTCTCTCTCTCTCCTCTCTCTCTCTCTCTCTCTCTCTCTCTCTCTCTCTCTCTCTCTTTCTCTCTCTCTCTTTCTCTCTTTTTCTTTCTCTCTCTTACTTTCTCTCTCTCTTGATCCCCATATTTTTCCATATGTGTAAGTCTCTCTGTGTATCTCTGGAGATATCTCTTTCTTTGTATTTCTCTCTGGCTAGCTCTCCACTCTCGCTCTCACTTTCTCTGTTCTCTTTACTCGGAGACTATAAATACAGACACTGCCCTAGCACGGACCTCATTCTGTCCGCGGCCTCCCAAGTGTTTACATCTGCAGTGATAGGGATAGTGATTGCCCTTCGAGCTCATAAATATTACCTGCCAAAAGCAAGACATCCGGATAATTAGAAAGAAGCGTACTTTGATGATACCTAAATCCTAAAAATATCATTGTGCATTTATTTTTCAATTAATTCCCTTATTGCCATGGACCAAATTGCTTAACTTTAATTGAAAGTGATACAGCAATTTTTATTAAGCATATCTACAAAATAACCTTACTTAATTAGAAACAATTCACAATTGTTGATTTCTTACCCTTACGATAGTTTCAAAACTAACCCTGTTTCTTGCTTCATTGTTATATTCTAGCAAGTTATTATAATTTCAGTCAGCATCTTACAACTAAGTGAAGAAGTCGTTTCCGTTTAATTATTATTTTCAAGAGACAAACAAAGCTTCTTTGCAGACAGACAAGACATCGTCTATAGCTATTAATTTTTAAAACCGAATTATATTTCTGATTTATGCTGTTGCAAACTAATTGTCTGCTAAAATATTCATAATAAATACGGTGAGCTTTTGAAATCATCACAGTGCTTCATGAAAAACTAATTAATTGTTGCCAAATATATAAAGGCAAAGTAAATAGCCAAAGGCAATTTCTGACTGGGCATTATTAACATTTTGAGGAGAGTAACTCGCGGCGCTTTCAAGTTTTGTATAAATATTTTCGCATCATTAAATAGTCAGCCAGACTTGGGCTTTATTTATGCAAAACACAATTTCTCAATTTTGTATTTAAAACCCCCGACAGCCGCTGGCATTTACATATATAAGTACACATCTATATTCAAAGCATTTTAAAGGTCACAGACCTCAAAGTGCATCCTGGATTGGCCAGGAGCTGAAAGAACTAATGCACAAATTTATTGTGACTTTTGGCACTGCCGGCAACAGCTGCTCCATATTATGCCTGACACCCAGAGAACTCCGTCCTCCAAAGGGACACACACAAAAAAGTAAAAGCGGAAAAAAGGACTCACATGTGTGTGTATGTGAGAGAGTGTTTGTCCTGCTCAGTTTTATCTGGTGCGCTGCACGCGGCACATTTGCATATTTCGTGCACAGGAGGATCTGGCTTTTTATTTTTATTTCATTTTTATTAATGCGAAAAATGTAATTTCAAGCATTTGCAACTGCAGCAGGCCCTCAGGGGCCAAACTACGACGACGACAACAGAACAAAAAAATTGGCATGTGGAAAATTGCAAAAATTTCAAGGAAGCCAAACAAAAAGTCAAATTCATTTGGAAAACGACCACGTGTGGATTTTAAATTCTAATTTTCAATATATTTGTTTGTTTTTTTTGTAGATCCAAAATTAAAGTTAAAGAGTTCATGTGCTAATACTTATAACAAGCAATGTATAATAGAACTATAATAAGTTTGGTAAAGTTACAAAAGTTTTGAAGCATTAGATAAGATTTAAATGTGATTTTAAATACTCTCAATATGATATTGAGTAAGATATCATATCGGATACATCTCCTGCATAAAATCATACCCACATTAACCTTAAGCTTTAAGTAACAGCCTTTAAAGTAATATTTTCCAACACAAAATACTTTTCTTGTAATGGTTATTTATGGAAATTGTAGTTCCAACACCAGCACTCATAACAATTACAAATGCAATCAAAACACTTGATTAGATTTTTGGCTTTTAGTCTCGCTTCCCTTCCTTCATGATTCGGTTTTTGTGTCATGTGTCCATTGGGTCAGATGAAATTCGGCATCTTCGTTGTTACTTTCATTTGCATTTGTCACGCTCGTTAGACATCCGGAATTCCCATTGGGAAATGCGTAGTTTTTCGATATCCAATGACAGCCACGTGACTGGCATCCCAGGGAAAAGGAAAAACAGAAACTAAAACCCAACCAACCAAAGCTCACTCAAGTAATGCTTGCTAAGCTAAAGAACTTCTACTGAAATGTATTTTTTAAACTAATGCACAAGCGACAACAAGGACGGCCCTGAAAGCAGCTCACTTTCAGTCTGCCAGCTCATAAATAAATATAAAAATTACTGTAATAGTTTTCAGCTTTGGGTTTCACTTGGCAAACGGGCAATGCATAAATACCGACGAAGAGCTCTCGGGGCTGAAATCCTTTTGGCTTTATCTAAGCACTGGTAATAGGATGAAACGAATGTCCGAGAGCCTCTCGTTGCACTCGGTGCAAAAATAAAAAGGATGAGAGAAGAATGAAGCAAACCTTTCCTTGGAAATTGCAAATATGTAATGGAGAAATCTTTACCTGGAAATTGAAAATATGTAATATCATACCAGATAGAAACAACGAGTAACAGGAAAATCTCAGCAAAGCCAATAAGCTTGCTTTACCTGGAATATAAATCAGGCTTTAAATTTTTAAATATCAAAGAAGCTAGCAGTATTTATGATTTAAAAAGGTTAAATAAAGTATCCGTTGGATTAAAATCTAAATGAAACGCATTGTTATTCAAATATTTAAACAAATTCAAAATTCGCTACACCTGTATGCTTGATAAAATACAATCTAAAATTTAAATGAAACTTCCAAAAAGGACTTGATTAAATTTCAACAATGACTGCTCGCCAAAATGAATGCTGTTGCACATTGAAATTTCACGAATGAGTGCCCCAAAAATGCAGCCACGTATTTGCATTATGATTATTATGGTTGCAGTGCACCGAAAACAACAGAATAAGGAAAATGGAAAGGGGAAAGGGGAACGGGAAAAGGCAATGGGAACGGAAAATATATAAAGCCAAATATTTTTGTGGCTACACAAGGAAGTGGCCAAAAGCGCACTTTTCATAATCTCTTGCATTTTATGGTGGAACGTTGGGAAACAAGGAGCCAACCGAACCCGCTCCCCGTGCCAGCTGAAAATTCAAATGAATAGCAAAATGCGGCACACGCTTCGCGCAATGCCACAAAGGCTTTTACCAAAAATTTCCCCCCTCCCTCTCTCAGTCGGGAAAATCAAATCCGCCTAACCCCATCCGGTCTTGTCGGCGGAAACAGCTGTTTCCTTTACACAGACACAGACACAGACACAACCCCCTGTCCCCTGAAAATTATTATTACATTTTATGCCAATTCAACGAATTTTCCATGTGCATTGGCCCTGGCTATGGAATGGAAACTTTAGTTTTCCTCAGCTTAATTAAAGCCAAAAAAAATATATATGTATAGAGGAAACATAAATTAAAATTTGCGGCTCCCGCAAGTATGCCATAAAAATGAAGTTTTAAAATCTTGATGGCTCAACTTTGCAGTTGTTTGTTTGCTGGCTGCACAGGAAGTTAATATTTTTGCAATTTTGCCCGAGTTTAATTTAAAAGAAGACCCAAATCCAGATGCAGTTCGAAAGTAGAGATACTCTTTAGGGAGAAATAAGGTATAAATTGAAATATAAATTATGTAAAGTATATATTAAACCCTTTACTTAGCATATATTTAAACTGTGAAATTTATTTTGAAACTGTAAGGAGCTTATATAACTTTAATTCACTATCGAATATCAACTTTTCTGAATATTCCAGAAGAAAATTATTCGAGAAATTGAAATTTTCTTAAAGGAGCAACTCAAGGTGCTTCAACAGTAGTTTAGTATAGATAAGTACATACATATATCAAAGGGAACCCTGATAAGATAAATCGAAAATATTGTTAACCTTCTTAAATACATTTTTATATCGCGCTTAAATTAAATATATTAATATCATTTCTAAATATATTATTATCTTTAAATGTCTCTTTGAATAATATTTCATCCTGTGAGATAAAGTATTAACTTTAAATAATTTTAGGAAAGATTACTTACGATTAATCTCGTCAAGAAAACATCATTAAATATCACCACCCACTTTTTTAATCCATTAAATCCCTAAAAACCTATCACTAATCCCGCACAAAACACCTGCAATATATAAAATAACCTTTGGGAGAGTATAGGGGAACACAAAGTAGTAAAAATGAGAAGAACACAGGCCAGGCCATGAAATGTTCGTTCAGGGGAAAATAAATGAGCTCCGGCCACGGAAACTTAAAGTTGGAAAAAGGCAATGCGTTGCGTTGCGAGGCGATGAGAGGCGGTGGCAAGGACGAAGGACGAAGGCGACTTTCCGCTAATTTTGTATGCAACCCACACAAATCTTGTCATTATTAAACGATGGCAGGCTCTCTGGTCTGCAGTCTAC